ACCCCGGCCCGGGGCTGGGCCGTACCAGGAGTGACGAGGGGGCGGCGGTTCCACTTTCCCTTCCTCGCCCCCCGCTCCCCGGGTGTGAATTCCGGCAGATCGCAGTCGTATAAATGCAAAGAAAAAAGGCAAACGGGAGTTTTTCCTTTCTGGGTCCACAGAAGGAGAAGGAAATGAGCCGACATGTCTGAGGGCAGCCAGGGGAGCTCGCTGGCCTTTGGCCAGGTGGTCATCGGGCCTCCGGGCTCCGGGAAGACGACCTACTGCCACGGCATGCAGGAGTTCCTGGGCAGGATTGGGCGCCAGGTGACGGTGGTGAACCTGGACCCCGCCAACGAGGCGATGCCCTACCCGTGCGCCGTGGACATCGCCGAGCTCATCACCCTGCCCGACGTGATGGAGAGCTTGAAGCTGGGTCCCAACGGGGGGTTGATCTACTGCATGGAGTACCTGGAGGCCAACTTGGACTGGCTGCAGGAGAAGTTGGCCGCGTTCAAGGGGCGCTACTACTTGTTTGACTGCCCGGGGCAGGTGGAGCTCTACACCCACCACGACGCCCTGAAGAACGTCTTCGCGCGGTTGGCCAAGTGGAATTTCAGGGTAGGTTTGGGGGCTCCGCGGGGAGGTGGGGTCAGAGCCTGGTGCGAGGGGCTCGGAGGCTGCCCGCTGCGTGGTCACAGCTTTTGATGGTGGGTGCTGATGACTGTTTTCTTCACTAACCCCTTTGGCCTTTCATGTGGAAGGGCTTTATCAGGGAAGGAGGGGGATTTTTCCCCATTTTACGTTCGGAGGGATTGGCGAAAGAGCAGCTTGTTCAGGGCGTTGAATGCAGGGGGATTACCACGAGCAGAAACACGGATTCCTCCCTCACACGCTCTCGCTGGGCTCCAGGGTCCTCTTCCACAGCCCCTGCGTGCTTCCTCCGAGCGGGCGCTGTATTTCGGAGCGGGGAGGTACCCGTGTGGTCCCCCTTGGCCACCTCAGAAATCCCAGTGTCACCTCAGGCCCTGCCCGGCTCTCCCGCGGCAACCGCTCTGCACGTTGGGGTACGTGCCTTGTGCTTCCTTGCACAATGGAAGATGCAGATGAGGAAGGAGGGCAGGTGAGAAGAGTCCCGAACTTGCTTACGTTGCGTTTGGTTTGCATTCAGGCCAAAGCGTGAATGTGCAAACCCCGTGTGGGGCGAGCGAGAAGGGCAAGTTCATTTGCTTGGGAATGTCACTGGAAATCTGCACGTTGGGGATTATTTTTATCCAAACAAATGTACGTGAAACCGTAGTTACTAAAAAAAAAAGGTAGTCACGCTGCTGATGTGATGCTCCCTGGAGTGTTTACACCTGCCTGTGAGCTTCAAACTGGCTCTTTCTGCTGCAGAAGCGTAGCTGTGACTCAGCCCCGCTCGACTGTAGAGCCCTGGCTCTGCCTAACGTTGTGTAACAGGCAGTCACTTAGCAGAGATCTCGGGCCACGTTGTTACAGCTGCCCGAAACGCAGGGAATCAAGCTGCTCATTAATTTAGTTATTAATTATTATTTCAAACCGCGTGGCAGTTGGTTCTCCCGGCAGAGCGGGGTGCTCTACAGTTACTGCTCCGCAGCGTACGCTGTGCGGGAGCGTTCCTGTGGGGAAGGTGGAAATCTGGAGGCAGTCACGTTGTCCAGAAGGAGAGTTAACCCCAGCTCCCACCCCCAAGAAACCCGCAGAGTTCAGACAAGCGTGGGAACTTCAGCTGGGAAGAAAGAAGCCCGGAGCAAAGCGGGAGCAGTTGCAGGTTTAAGTGTCGTTCAGTGCTGCTGGGGGAGCTCAGCACCCCTGTCGGCCTCCCCACGGCCCTCTCTGTGGCACCGGCGGCCTGGATCCTGAATCCCACGGGTGGTCCGTGGGTGTGAGCGTGGCGATACATACTTATATACCTGTAAGTGCGCTCATTTAGGGGGTTGATTGAGATGCAGGAGCTCGAAGGTAGGTGATAACTTTCCCTCGGTGGGAGCCTGCGTGGTTGTAGCCAGGTCTGAACGGGTTGTCCTGCTCAGGCTGACCCAAAAGCCAGCGGAGGGCCTCGCCGCCGCCCTGACCTGGCGCTGTCCCTCTCTCCAGCTGGCTGCAGTGCACTTGGTGGATTCCCACTACTGCACGGACCCCGGCAAGTTCATCTCCGTGCTCTGCACCTCGCTCTCCACCATGCTCCACGTGGAGCTGCCCCACGTCAACGTCCTCTCCAAGATGGACCTGATCGAGCAGTACGGCAAGCTGAGTGAGAGCCTTGGCGAGGGAGACGCGCGGCGTTGGGCCGCCTCGGGCCTGAACCTCGCCGGGTTCTTCAGTTTGCCCCGTTGCCTTCAGAGCTCCTTGGTGTTTCCCTGCAGCTTTCAACCTGGATTATTACACGGAGGTCCTGGACCTTTCTTACTTGGTTGACCATTTGGCGTCCGACCCCTTCTTCAGAAACTACCGCCGCCTCAACGAGAAGCTGGTGGAGGTGATCGAGGACTACAGCCTGGTGTCCTTCGTTCCCCTCAACGTCCAGGTGATGCAGCAGGAGGAGGGAGGTGGAGAGGACAGGGAGTGCTGCCTCTGTAGTCAGCACATTTGGTAGCAGCTCTCTGCCCAGAGCCACGAGGGCTGAAAACCTCAGCTGTGAAGAGGCGTCGGGGGGGATGGAGGAGGGCAGCGAAACACACCCAGACTTGTAAATGGTCTGTGGCAGCCAAAGGAAAAGAAAAGGCTGATGAGCTTGGGGCTACGTGGGCCTTGTGTCCTGGGGTAGGGAATTAAGGCTCCCCCTTCATTCAGCTCTTCTCTGCCTGCGTTTCAAACCTAGGCAAAGATTTGCCTAAAACGTGGTTCAATTAGGGAGCAGGAAATAATTAGAAGATTGGGAGGAATCCATTTGGGGAGGAAGGGCTGAAAACCTTCATCTGGTCGTTTGCAGATGTGTCAACGAAGCCAAATGGGCTGAGACAGAGGTGATGAAAGGGAGCGAGAGGGTGGAGGGTGGCAGCCCATCTTGTATTCGGTGCCTCTGGTGTCTTGTGGCCCCTCTGGGCTCCTGGAGGCCGGCAGCGTCCTCGGGGGTGTTGGGTGCTGTGTGGGTGGGCCAGAGCCTGGGAGAAAACCCCGTGGTGCAGCCCAGCAGGAGCTCTTGCCTCCAGGGAAGGACTATATTCCCTGCCTGTCATCCCCCCTCCCTTCCAGGATAAGGAGAGCATGCGGCAGGTGATGCAGGCGGTGGACAAAGCCAACGGCTATTCCTTCGGAGACCAGGAGCACAGGAGCCTGGAAGCTCTGATGTCGGCAGCGGTGGGAGCCGATTTCCACTTCCCTTCGTATCCTTCGCTGCAAATCCTGTGCTGTGTGGGGGTTTCACTTCTCTTGCCTTGGGGGGGAGAGGCTGGAGGTGGGGCTGGCGGTTTGCAGGCTCAGGTTGTTCCTAACACCATCCGATGCTGTTTGGTGAGAGGCCTGTAGCGAGTTGGTAGGGCTCAGCCCAGGCCTTAGCAGGCAGATGTCCCCACCAAAGCCACCACATTTGTTGTTAATGGACACTGTGAATGTGGGAGGAAGCTTTGGACAACTTTCCCCTCTTCTCTCACACTCACCTGGGCTGGTTCGTTCCACCTTGTCCAAACCATGCAATGGATTCTCCTGGACTTGTCAGGTCTGGGATCAGCCAGAGCCAGAAATAACTCAGGTGATGCGTGCTGGTGCCAGTACTGCCGTCTTCCTGCCAGCCTGCAGGCTAATGTGGGGCTGGTGCCTCGCTGAGAACGTTAAGAGCTCCTTGCAGAAGGGAGTGTTTGAGCCCAGCCCCTTGTTTTCCTTAATTACTGCCTTATCAGCACGCTTGCAGTGCAGGAGAAGTATGTGCAATCTCAGGACAAAGCCGTGGAAGAAGAAGTGATGGATCTGTAACACACCCACCTCTTCCCCAGCTGCTCTCTGTTTTGACACCTCTCCTTTTCCTGCCAGGAGCTTAAGGGATTTCTGCTGTGGTGTGACTCAGACCAAGTGAAAGCCTGTCTGGGCAGAGGCCTGGCTGCTGGACTCCCTCCCCGAAAGGGTTTGACCTCTTGTGCTTCAGCCCCGCTGCACAGAGCAGCGTTTTTGCAGGCAGGCCGTGGGCGAGTGCAGGGCAAGCCGGGTCTTCCCTTAGGAACAAGAGGGGTTTAGCCAGGTGAAGGCATGGTTAGCCAGAGAAGAGAAGCAAGATAAAGGAGATCCACCTTTGCCAAGTCTCCTCCTCCCCATCGTGACTAAGACAGAGCCAGAGAAAGAAAAATCCGATTGAGCTGCCTCTTCTGCAGTGAGACTTGAGACAGAAGCGCTGGGTTCACTGCATGGGAGGAGGAGCGTGCGTGGGCCTCGTGCTCCGAGGAGTATCCGGGCTGAGAAGCCTCCAACCTGTCTCAAGGAGGACAGAAAGGTGGTTGTTTTTCTTTCTTTCTTTTTAAATAATGATGGACTCTTTCTTAATAAAACACTCCTTCGTCTCGCTTTCATCTTGCGCGTTTGCTGAACCTGAATAAATAAAACCAAAAGGTGCTACAAAGCCCGAGGCTGAAAAGCCTCTGGTGGGAACGTCCCAGCGGCCGCTGCCTGGTGTGCTTTGCGGCCAGGCTCCGCGTTTGCACCGTCCCTCTGTGACCTCCCCGAGAGCAGACGAAAGGGTTTGCTGGAGGGAGCGAGGCAGAGCGGCTGTGGGACGTGAGGCAGAGCGGCTGTGGGGCGGGAAAGCAGGTCACTCCTCACCTGCGCTTCTCCGGGGCCTGGACGCCGGTGTTGGGAGCTGCAAGCTCGGGCTTTTGGAGGCTTTGGGTTAAGAAAGACCCTGGGT